GGGGCGGCGGGGAGGGAGACGATGCTCCGGGGGTCTGGTCTGCCTCAGCTTGCCAGCGAGGAGGTGGGTTTGCCGCCGCGAAGCTTAACTGCGTTGCTTAAGCCATGCCTGTTCTAATGAAATGTCATTTTTAGCGGGTCTTCTGGCGAGCGGTGAGCAAGTGCTGCTGGAGGCCAAGGCTGCTGCCGCGTCCAGGCCTCGGATGCCGGGAGAGGACCTGGCAGCTGTACCAAGGAAGGAGCTTAATCACGTTCAAAGTGGCGGAGTTTCAGGCGGACCTTTGCAGATGGAGCAGCTGCTCCCGAAGCAGGGTGCCACCGACTCCGGGGAGCAGCCAGCTGATGTGCGCGGCAGCCAGGCAGGAGAATTGAGACCCGAGATGGGACAGGCAAGCGACGGATGGTGTGTGATGAACTTGGCAGGAGCCTCCGATGATGCCTGTAAGGACAGAATTGAGCAGCAGCCGGGTCAGCCAGCCGAGAGCAAGGACTGGGACCATGAAGAGTGGGAAGTTGTTTCGGAGCACCTCGCCTGGGGGGAGGCTGGCAAGAACGGCAGCATGGAAGACGCCGACAGCAAGGAATGGGAACAAGGGGATTGTCCTGATGGGGACTTGAAAGCAAAGAGAGTTGCAGCTGTGCCCCCCATGTTTCAAAATATCCATGTGACTTTCCGTGTGCACTACATCACGCACTCTGATGCTCAGCTCATTGGTGTTACTGGTGACCACGAGTGTCTTGGCCAGTGGCACAGCTACGTTCCCCTCAAGTACGACAAGGATGGCTTCTGGTCTGAATCCGTTAGTCTGCCGGTAGACACCAAAGTAGAGTGGAAATTTATCTTGGTGGAGAATGGGAAGGTCCGACGTTGGGAAGAATGCGGGAATAGGACCCTAGTGACTGAACATGAAGATCAAATTGTTCATCAGTGGTGGGGATACCATTAATGAGATTTTGGAAGCTGCTTACCTAATGGCAAACCTGCTTAGATTAATCACAGGGCCCCTAAACTTCACCCCTTCTTCAGTAGGAGACCTTCTCAAGTGCAGAGCTCTGTAAGTCCCGTATCAAACCTGGTTAAACCATGTGAGCAGCAGATCTTTGCCATCTTCTTTAGGAAATCCATTTGGCAACCTGAGAAATAAACTTCAAATGCGTTCTGAAGATGTGCAAGGTAGGCTACGAAGGCGTGAGCAGCATTCCAAGCAGCTGCCTGTCCAGGTAAATCTGGACCCTGGACTTGAGTTTGTGTTGCTTAGAGTGGGGCTAAGGATGCATCTTTGTACCGACTGCTTAGAGCTTTTGAAGCATACTAGGAAGTGTGGTTACCTACACCGTAATAGCAACTTAAGTGTTTTAACTTATGTAATGTATTAAGTAAACAATAAACACTTTCAGACTGACAGTCTGTTACAACTCGACCAGTGAACTGACTCATTTTAATAACTTCGATCGAAGTGAGTTACTTGACCTGAAGTCTTAGTGCTAAAGAATTCCTGCCAAGTGGCTGGCGCTCTTTGGAATAACAAAGGTTTAACCCCAAAGTACTTCATTCTCTAGTCCCTACTCTCTAGGAAGCACCTCAGCTCAAACAAAGGCTTGGCAGATAGGTCCCTTTTAGTCAGATCATCCTGCTGAGAGGAGAGCAAAGGTCAGAAAGGACTGTCTGGGCTTAATGAATTACTTTGTCAGGGTGGGAGCAGGCTTAAAAAAACAAAGCAAAACCAAAACCAAAAACCTGGACTGCTGTGATGGCAAGGGAATAGGATTCTCACTGAAATAGAGATAAGGTGGCATATTCCGTCTACCTAGGAACAATACCACAGTATTGTTAGTGACTACTTAGCTTAAGTTCAGGTTTGTTGTTGGTTTTTTTCCAAGACTAGGCTTTTCAACACAAATTTCTTTTAAGTTGTGGCCCTCTAGTAAGCCAGATCAAGTAGAATGCTTCCAGCTTCAACCAGTTGGTATTTTTTTTACATGACAGAAGCAGAAAGCTGTTCTGCTTGCCTGCTTTTTGTATTTTTGGTTACAAATACATGATGCTACTTCAGCAAGCTCTTCTTTCCATAATGAGGAACCTAGCTCTAGCTTGCAAATATCCCTTCCCTAGAGTGAACTTGGTCTGAAGAGCATAGCTTTGTAGGAGTTCTGAAGTACATTAATTAGCACTTAGGTTTGGAACATCTGCTTCAAAAGCACACTGCTGATCTAATTGCCTCTGCTAATTCTTTCCTGCTTTGCATGGTGGAGCAGTCTGAGTATGCGAAATGGAATGGGTTTTGGTGATAGACTGGAAGATGAGTTTCAGAGGCTTACCTCCTGCATCTAATGGTTAATGGATGTGCAGTTGGTGGGACAATAGTTGAGCTATTGTGAAGAACAAGTGTCTGAAATGTTGCTACTCCCACTTCAGTACCAGCTGTTTCATGAAACAAATCCATTGAGAGTGGGCTGGGCCGCCTGCTCATGCAGGTATAGCCACAAAATAGCTGAAGAAAATCTTGGGGGGGGGTGTTGAGGGGAGGGTGCAGAGGGAGAAAGACTAAGGCAAATGAACAACTGCATTGGCAAGCTGGAGTTCTCATGTTCTCATGTAGAACAAGCCCCCCCCAGCAGCTGCTATGTAGCAGAGCAACTTGTTCTGTGGGTCAGTTGCTTCTACAGACACTAGCTTTGGTCTCTGGTTGTCTCAAGCAACCTGAAGATTCAGATAAATAAATTTAATTCCTTCAACAGACCTTTTATAGAAGAGAAAGAGGGAGGAAATGTGGGTGGGAGCTAAACTCAAGACTGACTGTAAGCTTTTTGTTAACTGCTTGTCCAGGATGAAAAGTACCCCTGTAACTACTTCTGCATGAGAAGTACTGCAGGTCTGGAAGGAATGTGGTATCATTTCTGGCAAGTGACTCAAAAGGGAAAGGATGGAGCTGATAATTCAGCAGGTGGTTGATGCTGCTTCAGTAATCTTAAACCCATGTGCATGTGCACACACTAGTTCTCAACCCTCTTCAAGAGGAAACTAGTATGGGACTTATGTTACTTACTACATGAACTTAAAAGGAAAATAGGACACAGTATGTCCAGGGTTGAAAAAGAAATACTAACATGAAGCTCATTTCATTTTAGGGGCTACTACTTCACTGTAACAAATATTTCTACTGTTTAATTATGACTATGCTTACTGTGTACAAACAGAAAGGTCTTAATTTCTGTTCACCTGCACCAACAGTGAGTACACAAAACACTTGTATGGATTTCAGTCAGTAACTTACAGCTTTAACTGAATATCGCACTGGAACTAGTGGCTTGGTACCTTAATTGCATTTTTTTGCACTTAGCTTTTCTAACAAATTTAAGTGAACAAAATCCCTAATATACAGAGGTACAGTGGAAATAGAAGTTGATCTTCAGAAATCACTGAAGTCAAAGCAAAACATGTTATTACAAGCTGTTTACAACTATTTTTTCACATTAATGCAAGCTCTTCATATAGTCACATATTGTCAACATAAAAAGCACTTGTCCAACAGCCACTGCCATTTGAGTGTATTTATACATACATTGGAGGCTTGTCTGAGAAGATTAACTGTGGTATTAGATTAAGATATTCACTAGAAAGCCACTTAACCTACACTAGAATAGATTCTCTAATGCAATGATGAACATGTTTCAAACAGACTAACCCCCAGAAGTCTCTCAAATTAAGAATAATTTTTTTTTTAATTAAACACCCTGCGCTTTGATCCCACAGACAATGCATACAGTCCTCATGATTGCATCATCTTGCTGAATGATCAAGCAAGGTTTTTACAAAGACCTGCACTGCACTTTTGCTATAACCTCTGAATTATTGTGCCATTCACATCACTGCTTGCCCAGCAGGGCCTACGCTATGTAAATTAAATGTTATTTGTATGGTGAAAGAAGGAACTTTCTATTATTGGAGGAGCCAATTAGTATTTTCTCTAAGTTTACAGAGGTGGTTCCTCATTATTGAACAATCTATTCACTCAAGCGTGAAGGTAGACTTAAAAATTGCCCTGCTGCATAAAGATGATTATGCTAGAACAGGCTGATATCTGACTAGTACAATGTCCTGGCTGTGAGACTAGTGAAGCTACATGGGAGAAACAAGTTCTTGTTGACATTCCTATGTGGATATAACAGCCTAGCAGCCTGCGGCTCAGGATATCTAAAAGCAAATAATAAACCATCTCACTCACAGCCTAGCAAAGCCAGGAAGACTGCAACCAAAGATCTACTTTTTAAGTTCACTGGCTCATACTGCTGACAACGAACTTCTGACAAATTTGACAATTTGATTACTTACAGCTGAAATGCAATTTACTCTTATTTTTGAAGTAGTTTGGTGTACAAATGCTAAATGCTGCACCTGGATGGCAAGCTGAGCAGACAGCCTGAGGCTGGAATGGGTACTAGGCATAAACGAGTTTAAAGTCACATACGGGAACTTGCACTGCAACTTGTTTGCTTCCTATTCACTTTGCAGGTGCCTTTGTAAAAACCATGCCCACCCCACACACTCTCTGGGAGTTAAACTTACTGGTTGGAGCCTCTCCACATGATCCATTCAAAAATATTACACTGGTATTAGGTTTTCTCTTTAGGGGGTTGGTTGCCATCTGTGGTGTCCTGCTGTGGTCAAGATTTGCCTAACAGTCCTCCTGTCATCCACCTGTATGACATGGAATAACAAAGTGCTATTCATGCTGCAAAGTGCAGGATGTATAGAGCTGCTCTGGGGCCCACAAGTCTATGAACCTTTTGCTTCCCCAGGCCAATTCTTTGCCTTCTGCTGGTGGCAGGGAGGAAGCCCAGACCTGTTGCCAACTCCACTGGATTCCAGCACAAGGATGTTAAGCTGCCTTTTTGCTTGGCAGATCTCCCTTCTCTCTGGCTACTTGTACCTCTCCACCTGCTCCCTTCTGTTCACAGGGCTGCAGTCTCTTGAAACTCTTCTTAGCTTGGCTCTTTGAATGCAACTAAGAGTGCACTTTTCATTGACCTTTTCAAACCTGCTGGGCTATGCAGTGAATACGTGCTCTCATTCTCTAGATCTCACCCTTTTCTTATGAAAACTTTGGTAGATCTGTCAAATATGTATAACAAGTCCAGACTGTGATACACAAGCCATCTGAAATGATCCTTTCATTTTCAATGCAACCAATTCCTAGGAAAGGGGAGAGCCGTTATTAACATTTTGACTAAGCCTGCAACACTGTTGCCAAACATGACAGAATCAGTGGAAAAAAATTATTAGGAAATACAGAAAATTACCTAGATTAAATCAAAATACTGTTGACAATAACTGAGGACACCTTAGGAACAACTCACCAACCTCTTATCACACAACAAGACCTCAAACTAAAAAAAACTCAGATTTGATCTACTCTGAATATAGTCCTGTAGCTTCAAAGTCAACAAAACCAAGCTTGTATCTGCATGGCTTGTGCTCATGAAGCTACTTTTGCTGAGCCTTAGCTACAAATCATTTGGTTTGGACAAAATCACTGGGTAAGCCCCTTGAATTCAAGCACGGCCTTCCATGCTGCTAGAAATCCAAGGCCATAATTGCTTTTCAGAAAGCAGATAATGAGGAAAAAACACTAATGCTAGGGAAGCTGCCCCACTGGCACCTCCTGCTGACCCTGGGGATGGTCTACGTTTTGGTGCTCGGGTACCAATTTATTGCAGAGGGCCATCTTGCCCCTTGTTTTGTCAGTAATGTTTATAGCAAGGACTCCCCTCCTACCAGGCCAGCAGCTTCCATGACCAGCTTCTCAGACAGCCTTGCTAGACTCTGAAGGGGCAGCACTATTAATCTGCGCTTCACGAACAGTCCCCAGATAAAAATCAAATGGCAAATTCTGGAAAAGTACTCAATTTGGGATGAATACAAACTTCTTCCTCCCCTGTCTTTTTTTTCCAACAACTATCTTGTTCCCTTAGATACTGTCAAACACTAATGAGGCTTTAAACATCAATCTGATACTTTGGTGATCCTGTTCATCTTACTACTTTGGAATTGGTTTTAGCATTGGATAGTCTTTTAACTCTTCTAAGTGCACGAAGTCATTTGCCCTCTGCTGCAAAATCTTCAAATGTCAGAACACACACGAGGTTTTAAAATAAATTCAGGTGTGCTCAACATGTCTTCCTGTTTAGTACTAATCTTACACCAGAAATGGCCTTTGAAAATATTATTCTTAGGCACTTGTATTATGGGAAAGTTGTGTGTATTGGTGACTCAACTGAAGAGCATTTTGGAGACCAACTGAAAGTAATACGCCAGCTATTTTAGCAA